TTAAAATAATATTAATACCGATAAATAAGTCGAGCTATTAATATAATATTATTCCGGGGTGTTACACGCACGGGCCGGCGCCAGCAGCGCCCGGCAGCCCCGGCAGTGCCCCGTTCGTGTCCGGTGCGTGCATACGACCATGCCAATAGTCGAGTTGGTTGCCGACCGATCGGTCCGAGCAGACCGGCGGTCTGGCCAGATTAAATTATAGCAGTTCAAACCGGTTTCTTCACATTTTTTTATGTTAAGTCCCAGTTCATGATTTCAGTCCCATTTTCAGTTAATTTCTGGGTCCAGTTCAGTCCAGTAAATTCATGTCAGTTCAGTTCCGAGTTTATCCAGTTCCGGTTATACCGGTTAAGCCCAAATATTATGTTTAAGTCCAGTAGAGCATCTTAACATGTTAATCAGTTATTTTTATCAGTCTGAGCATAGTATTTAGTAATTGTTTATATTATTTTCAGTCTATTCAGGATCCAGATGATCAGCACTTACATTTTCAAACCAGCAGTTCAGGTGGGGACTCATACTGGATATTACATTGGTTATAATTGCTCTATCATGTTTTAAGGTATGTATATCATTTATTCCACTTTGGGTGGAGGCGCAGTAGCCTTAATTGCCCATCCAAAGTTCTGGTGGAGGCGCAGTAGCCTTAATTGCCCATTAGAGTGTGCACATGGCCAGTTCAGTACAGACCTCGTGTCTGGAGATTACAGTTTACAGTTTACTTATATATATACCTGCAGCCATGATATTGATATTATTATTAATGTTTATTTCAGTATGAGTTTCTGCGGAGTACAGTGTTTTAGGTACTCACGCTCCCACTATTATCATGTTTTTCAGGTCATGAAGTCGGGACGGAGGAGTGAGATGACGGAGTTGTTTGGGATTATGCTTATAAAGTTTAAATTGCCTAAGCTTTATGCTTATAAAGCTTAAATTATGTTTTGTACAGTTTGAATTTGGCAAAGCAGTGCCGATATATTTTTCAGCAAACTTGTTTTCACGATCACGGTACTGCTATCCAAATTCACCACTACAGTTTCCGCTGATGTTTTATTGTTCGTCATTCTTAGTCAAAGGAATCAGCTGGCGAACTAGTAGTTGGTTTTTCAAACCAAAAGTTCCAGATTTTTCAGTCAGTTATGTATTTTAGTAACACTCCAAATCAGTACTTCGCAATGTAAAATGTTTTATTTTGAATGTGATTGCGAAAAGCGCGCTCTGATTTTTATGGAAAGACGGGGTGTTACAAGTTGACTCAGCGAGTGGTAGATCGAAGCTAGTTGACCGAGTCGCTACAGTTGGCAGGCCGGGTTCGAGTGCGTGGCCCGCTCTGGGGGGAGGGGCGAAGATGGCTCGCTTGGTGGTCGTGCTCACGTGTGGAGCGCCTTTCCGACGTGAACTCGCCGGAGTCAGGCTGAACTCGATCGTGGGTGGCTCAAGCTTGAAGCTGGTCGGGAAACGCCGACGTGAACGGGAAGGGCGCGCTGTGTATGCGTGCGCGCGGGTTGCTGGAAAGCTGGTCGGACTCGCAGACGGGAGTGGCGTGGAACCGGGTTGAGCGACGAGCTGACAGGTGAACCACGAGCTCGAGCAGGGACGGCGCATGGAAGGAGCTTCATTGCTCGGTTGGTGGTGGAGGCGCGCAATGCAGGTGAGCTATTCATGGTTCTGGTGCATCTGGTCGGGAAACGCGCAAATGAGGTGGGTACCGGCGGTGGTGCGTGAACGAGATGGACGTGGCTCAACTCGCCGGCGCAGATTTCGCCAGAAAACAGGCGCGGTGGCCGGAAAATGTGAAGAGCTCGCCGGATTTACTGAAGAAATGGTGATGAGTGAGCTTGATGGTGGTTGCTATGGTGATTAGTCTTGAAATGGAGATGAGGTGTTGGAGAAAGTAAAACTAGGGTTTGGAGTTGTTGTGTTGTTGGGAAACAAGGGAACAAGATATTTATAGCTAGGTATAAGACTAGGGTTTCTATTCTTGTTGGGCAAAAAATCGGGGCTTCAAAGTCGGACTTAAAATCGCTACATAATCGGGCTAATAAAAATTCTATGCTTGGGCTCGAATTTAAAACAGATATGAACTAGGAAATTTAAATGCTCGGTTTATTAAATTATTCAAACTCGGGCTAATTAAATTAGTCGGTCGAAATAAATAATAATAATGGGCTCGAATTAAAAATCGACCATGTGCTCAATTTTTAAAAATGGACTAAAATAAAACCGAACTTGTGCTCGATTAACTTAAATGGGCCATCTAAAATAATTGAATTCGCTCAAAATTGATTGGGCTCGAATAAATAAATTATTCGGCTTCAATTAGCTTTAATAAAAGCTCGATTAATTCAAGGCTCAGTTTTAAAAATATAACCGATACTTGGGCTAGATAAATCCGACTTAAATAATTAAAATCGAATAAATTCTCCATGGCTTAGACATTAATACTAATTATTTAATTCAATGCAATTAATAATAATAAATGCATCGAATTAGGAAACTTAATATTTATGGAAATATAGTCGAGCACCATAAATAGCAAATAAAAATCTGGGCGTTACACCAACAGTCTCTAAAAGGGTGAACATCGGTGCTGTTAGGTACAAAACTACACCGAACTATAAGAAATCGAAAACCAAAAAAGTTCAAATGTCCAAACCAAAGTGCACCAAATTTAGAAAAAAATTGAACCAAAACAGTAATAAAATTTTCGGTTCGATGCGATTAACCTCAAATAACTAGAAGAAAAGAGGGCTAAGAGACATTAAACATCCAAATGATTGATTCTCTTAAAAAGCATCAACAATGATCAACAACTAAGAAAGACAACATCCAATAACATCAATAAATTATTTTACGATCAGGGTTCAAAAATCAAAAGGACTGACAGTCGATGTTCTATAAACAGATCAAACCTGCTACAAAACCTTTAGGAAACTGAAGTCGGTAAGGTGTCACCAACACCAGAGAACACAGAAGGCCAATGATTGGAGAGGCAAAGTCGCAAAGAGCAGCCGACGACGGGCGAGCTGAGGGTGAGAGTCTAAGAGAGAAGAGAGCGAAAGGACTGTATGCAAAACCTAAGGCATATAATTAAATTAGAATAATCAATTTTTTTTTTATTTTTTTTTTACATTTTAACTTTTAATTGTAATGTTGTATTATGTTTAAGTTTTTAATTGTTGTTAAATGTTAATTGTTATGTTATTAGTCAAAACAAACTACCGGTATTATACCTATAATACAAATACAAGGACACTTTATTTATATTTTTTAAAAATTTTAATTGTGTCGTTCAATTTACTCTTTAATAATCAAATCGAACCGCTCCGAACACATGAGTTCAGCTTGATTTTCAATTTCGGCTAAATTTTGCTCACCTCTAGTTTTCATTAACTATAATGCACCCTCATCTACGTACAACTAAAAATCTCAGCAAGAAGGCATGTCCAGTTGTACGTACATACCACCAATACCCTCTCTCAATCTCTCTCTTACCCACATAATCTATTGTTTCCCCTCTCTCCTTTCTAGGGATGTAAATGGGTCGGGTTGGGTACGGGTTTTGGCAAACTCAAACTCGACCCGCATATAATTTACCCTACCCAAACCCGACCCGTTATCCAGCTAGTGATCTTCGGGTTCGGGTTGGATTTTACCCGACGGGTTAGTGGGTATTGGTCGGGTAAACGGGTAATCCGAGTCTTAAATTTGGGTTTTATCCGACTCATCTCATTTCATATGAAAAAGTGTAGTAAAATAATTTCACAATTAATTATAATGTAAGAAATAATTTATTAACTAATTTTGACAATAAACAAACTATACAAAAATTATATTATATTTCGAATAAATAATAAGATATGATTATTTATCTTTGAGTAATGCTATAAAGGTGTACATAACACGCACATTGAGTGGGTCCCACCAAAATTAAAAAATCAAGTGGACTCCACTCTATGTGAATGTTATGTACACCTCTATGTACATTTTATTATATACTTGTAGCATTTTCCTTTATCTTTTATAGTCTATTTAATATTATAACATTTAAAATTAGTATTTAATTTTTTTATTGTACAATTAACAAAAAATGATAATAAAATTATAAAAAATAAAATAAATTTAACCATTAATCAAAATTATAATTGATAATCTAATTTTTAAAAATAACACATGACTACTTTTATATTTATTATAAGTTATAAATATAGATATATATATATATATATATATACACGTGTGTATGTATATATATGATTCAATGATTGCGAGTAAACAGGTCGGGTAATGAATTTGCCTACTATACCCACAACGACCCGACCCGACTCGACCCAGAATTTGGGTAGCATAATTCTACTCTAATTCGACCCGAAACCCAATCATCTCAAAAATGTGGATTACCGACCCAGGGTTTGGGTAGCATAATTCTACCCTAACCCGACCCAAAACCCAATCATCTCAAAAATACGGTAACCCGACCCTACTAATTTTATTGACATCCCTACTCTAGACGTGGCCAGGTGCCGGGTCCGGGCCCGGCTCGGCCCGACCCGTCGGGCCACGGGCCTTCAAACAGTCGAACCGCGACCGGCCCGCTAGGAACGAAGGGCCAGTTTATAGAACCGGCCCGACGGTTCACGGGCCGGTACGGCCCTTAAAAAAAGCAAAAAAAATGGCCCGGCCCGGCCCGGCCAGCCGGGACAAAAAAAAAAACCGTGACCCTTAACCGGACCGGATTGGCCGCGGTCCGGTTCTCGAACCCGGCACTATTCATGTTGGTACCGGGCCGGGCCGGTCCGGTACCGGGTCACGGGGCCGCCCGTGGCCATGTCTACCCTACTCCCATCAATCAACAACAAAAACCAGTGGTGAGAGAATATAAATATATACACACACAGGTATATATATATATATATTTTTAGAAGGAAAAGAAACCTAGGCAACCCAAAAAACCTAACTGCACAACCCAATTCTATCTCCATCCAACCATGAAGCACCACAATCATCCCCAAAACGACGTTGCCGTCTCCTCCTCCGATGCCGTCTCCGCCTCCGCGGCGGAGCCCCTGCCCGCGCATCGGGCATCGGACAAGCCGTCCATGGCGGTGGAGGATCCGTCGCGAGACGCCTCGTCTTCCGCCTCCGTCGCCGCCGCCGCGTCCGCCGACTCGGTGGTGGTCGAGCGGCGGGGGGATTACTCGGCCCTTTGCAAATGGACAATCTCCAATTTCCCCAGAATCAAATCGCGGGCACTCTGGAGCAAGTACTTCGAAGTGGGGGGCTTCGATTGCCGCTTGCTAGTCTACCCTAAGGGTGATTCGCAGGCGCTCCCCGGGTATTTGTCTATCTACCTGCAAATCATGGACCCTCGGAACACGGCCTCTTCCAAGTGGGATTGCTTTGCGAGCTACCGTCTCGCCATTGATAATTTGTCGGACCCCTCGAAATCAGTGCACAGGGATAGCTGGCATCGGTTTTCTTCCAAGAAGAAGTCCCACGGCTGGTGCGATTTCGCCTGCCTTAATTCTCTTTTGGACCCCAAGGGCGGATTCTTGCATTCGTTGAATGATTGTGTTCTTATCACTGCTGATATATTGATACTTCACGAGTCATTTTCATTCTCCCGTGACAACTACGACCTGCAGGCGAGTAATGTGTCTAGTATGGGCGGGGGAGGGGTTATTGGGCCCGTGGTCGGGGATGTATTGAGTGGTAAATTCACTTGGAAAGTGCATAATTTTAGTTTATTTAAAGAGATGATTAAAACGCAAAAGATAATGAGCCCAGTTTTCCCAGCTGGGGAGTGTAACCTGCGTATTAGTGTCTATCAGAGTGTGGTGAATAGCGTGGAGAATTTGTCCATGTGTTTGGAAAGCAAGGACACCGAGAAAAACTCGTTGATGTTAGATAGGAGTTGTTGGTGTCTGTTTAGGATGTCAGTTTTGAATCAGAAGCCGGGCAACGGTTCAAACCATGTCCATCGAGATAGTTATGGGCGGTTTGCTGCAGACAACAAGAGTGGGGACAATACCAGCTTGGGGTGGAATGACTATATGAAAATGTCAGAGTTTATGGGTCCCGAGTCTGGGTTCTTATTGGACGACACAGCAGTTTTCAGCACATCCTTTCATGTTATTAAGGAGTTGAGTAGTTTCTCCAAGAGTGGAACCTTGATTGGTGCGAGGAATGGAGGAAATGTTCGGAAGTCTGATGGGCATATGGGAAAGTTTACTTGGAAGATAGAAAACTTTACTCGGTTGAAGGATCTTTTGAAAAAGAGGAAGATTACTGGGCTTTGCATTAAAAGTAGGAGGTTTCAAATTGGGAATAGGGATTGTCGCCTTATTGTTTACCCCAGAGGTAAGCCGTGACATAAACAGTGAAGACGTGCCTGTTGCATTAGCAATTCTATGCAAAGAAGCATGTCCAATTGCTGCTGTTAACAATCATTTTGACTATTTTCCTGAGTGCAGTGTTAACCATTTACTTATAGACATATTTGAATCATACTGAATGAGATGAATTTTTTTTACAATATTTGTTTGTTCTATTGCATTCAATAGAAAGATATCAATATGATAAGTTGATCGAGCAAATCAAACTTTCAGCTTAGGCTAATGGGATCATTAAAGGCAAGGATAGTATGATTGAGAAATTTTAGATTCTTGTATTTCTCTTCTTTTCTTCATATCAATACCAAAAAATGTTGATATTGTCCTTCATTTGCTACTTCCATCTGTTGTTAGTATACAATTTTAATTGACTGCTATTATAGTTTTAGACTTCTACATTCACTCCATTTTTAAAGTTATATTACCATTTTGAATTTTAGAGCTTATTTCAAGTTTTCTAGTGCATAAAACTTCATTTTGTGAATTTGGGAAAATATAACTGATTTATAATACATTTTATGGTTAAGCTCATTATAGTTGTTGCGACAATTCGGATCAAATAATACATCTTAAGTTAAGAACATCAAATAATACTTCTTCTACTTTGAGCTGGATATGTTTAATAAGTGAACGGATGATTTAATGAATGAAGAATTTGCACCTTGGAAAAAAAATTCAGACCTCTAAAATCATTTTTGTATCATTTTACGATCAACATCTATTTCTAAATTACTTAGAAACTGGGATGAGTGATACAATTGATTTGTATTCTTGATGATTTTAGTCTCCGTTTTTCAATTTCTCAAAAAGTGGTTTTCATCTAATTCAAGATTTGGTTATCTCAAACATGTGATTCTGACCTGATAGCTCATTTATGCTTTCTCGTATCAGGGCAGTCTCAGCCTCCATGTCACCTTTCAGTGTTTCTTGAGGTTACGGATTCACGAAATTCTAACAGCGATTGGAGTTGTTTTGTCAGCCACCGCTTGTCAGTAGTGAACCAGAGAATGGAAGAGAAGTCTGTCACCAAAGAATCTCAAAACCGCTACTCAAAGGCTGCAAAGGACTGGGGTTGGCGCGAGTTTGTGACGCTGACTAGTCTGTTTGATCAGGATTCTGGATTTCTAGTCCAGGATACTGTAATCTTTTCGGCTGAGGTTCTTATATTGAAAGAAACATCTGTAATGCAGGACTTCACTGATCTAGAATCTTACTCCATGAACAACTGTTCACATTCGGATGGAGCTGGAAAGAGGAGTTCATTTACATGGAAAGTGGAGAATTTCTTGTCCTTTAAGGAAATAATGGAAACTAGAAAAATATTTAGCAAATTCTTTCAAGCCGGAGGATGTGAGCTTCGGATTGGTAGGTGCCTCTTTCAAGATTTTTTCGTTACAGTTTGTATAGTGGCATCAGCTATTACGATGGTTGATTATTTCTAATATTTTTTCTGTGTTTTTTTTTACAGGAGTTTACGAGTCTTTTGACACGATATGCATATATTTGGAGAGTGAGCAATCTGTTGGCAGTGATTCTGATAAGAACTTTTGGGTCAGATACAGGATGGCTATTGTGAATCAGAAAAATCCATCCAAAACTGTGTGGAAGGAGTCTTCCATTTGTACAAAGACGTGGAACAACTCTGTTCTTCAATTTATGAAGGTATCCGACATGTTAGAAGCTGATGCTGGGTTTCTGCTGCGCGACACTGTCGTTTTTGTTTGTGAGATCTTGGATTGCTGCCCGTGGTTTGAGTTTTCAGATCTGGAGGTTAGTTCATTTTTATTCTCTTAAGTATTCCCTCCGCTACCACCCCCATATATATTAGTTAACATAGGTCTGCACATGAGTCCTGCTGATTTTGAGCTATTAGATACATTAATAAGTATACCCATTCCCTTCTGACAACAATATATCTGTACCTGGTTGTTCAAGAACCTGGTTGTTCAACATACCTGGTTGTTCATATATGTATATATATATATATATGAATTCATATTGAACAACCAGGTATGTTGAACAACCAGGTTCTTGAACAACCAGGTACAGATATATATATGGAAACAGCCTCCTTGTATAATTACAAGGGTAAGGTCTGCGTACAACTGACCCCCCAGACCCCAACCTGTTGGGAATATACTGGGTATGTTGATGTTGATGATGTTG